CACAAACGCCACGACGGTAGGCCAGCGGACGTTGCGGGTCGTCGAGCACCATAACCCAGCCAGGACAGCCGAGACGCCGTAGACGATCATAGTAACACCATACCGGAGTCCGGTGCGCAACGAGTCCGTCTCATAAAGCACGCCGACCTGAAAAGCAAAGTAATTGTTGGCCGCGAAGAAGACAAGACCCTCCACAAAGACGCAGACCAGCGCGATGGGGAAGTTGCGTCCATTCCTGAAGAGCCCGTGGTGGAACATGCCGTCCTTCTTAAAGCGCGTCTCGTACACGGCCAGAGCGATGCAGAGCGCGCAGCCGACAACGAACGGCGCGACAGTGTGCGCGTCGGTCCAGGGATAGGGGTTCTGAGACCACGACAGGCCCATGCAGAAGAGCACCAGGCCCGAGGAAAGGAGAGCGTACCCAACCCAGTCGAGCTTCGCGAGCTTCTCTGAGACGCTGAAGCGCGTCTCGTTTGCCGTCTTTGGCGGGTTATACAACGCCAGGACGAGGGCCGTGGCGACAAAGTAGATGGCCGTCGCCATGTACCAGTAGTTTCTCACGCCCGCGGCGTTGCCGTTGCGCGTGAGCGCGCCGCCGGCCAGGAGCGCCACCAGGCCTCCCATCGCGGCTGAGAGGTTATCGGCCGCCTGCGCCCAGGGGCGGTAGCGCCGGGGGAGGACCTCGGAAGCGACGGCGTGGAGGAGGGGTTGGGCGCCGTAGGAGCAGCCCGTGATTGTGAAGCCGGCAATGGCCATGCCCATTGTTGAAGCGCGGGCGACGACGATGGAGCCGACGATGCCGCAGGCAGTGAGGCCGATGAGGAACCAGCGGCGACCCCAGTAGTCTGCGGCCTGAGAGACGATAGGGGAGAGGACGACTGTCATGATGGCGATTGTGGAGGTTAACCATACGCTCTTGTCGCTCTCCCCCAGTACGGCGGCGATGTTTTGGGTTTGCTTGTAGAGAGAATGCAAGTTAGATACAGTTGTTTCCAGTAGGTAATTTTGGCAAAATCATGGTGAACTACTTACAGCTCCGGCGCCGACAACGTTGATGAGTTGAGCAAAGTAGATGAAGCAGACGGCAAAGACTGTGAGGAACGTCTTTGCGTGCAAGTGAGGAACCGGCTCTTCGGAGCCCTCGATGCTCTCTTTGGGTTCATCACGACTGCTCGGAGGAGCTGCCGGGGCTTTTGCTTCGCTCATTGATCCAGTCTCCTGGACATTGTCTGTGATGACATCCTTGGTGGTTGACATCGTGGCGGTCTTTGGTGCCGGCAGCTACTTACACACTCGGGAATGAATGGATGGCTAGAAACAGAGGAGGAGGTGATGAGGAACGCAAACATCAAAGTAGAAAATCCACCCAAGAAACTCTGGATGTCATTCCCCTTGTGTCTCCTTCATAATCAAAGACATCCTCCTCCCACGTCCCGCCCATCCTCGATGCCCTTGGCCAACCAGAGTCTTCACAGAACAAGGGCTTCTCGACCCCGTACGATTGCTGGCAAACTCTTCATTATCTTCTCTCATCTCGTCCGTTGTTGCATTCTGCTCTACATCGGAGGTTAGAACTCATGCGGTAGCCCAGAGCAGGGAATCCAATGACCCCGTCGCTCGCCCATCCCAGCTATAAGTTGCAAGGGTTACAATTCTCACGGAAGCTACCAAAACGATACCCGGTCCTGTAACCCATGAACCCTGGCCGCCCTCTTCAGCGGAGCGCATGACCCCTGTTCCCGGATCAGTCCTTGTCGAGTAAGACCCCTGGGAGACGACCTCCTCGTCTGCAAGAACTTTCCAACCAACCGTCCCAAAAGTACCAATCCACACTAGTATCTACACAGTCAATGGCTCCAAAGACACTGCTCTACGTGCGCATATGTCCATTGAGAATCTCACCCACCCACCATTGCCCAAGTCCATACTATGTACCATAACAGGAGCGTACGTGTCGACGTTCCATTGCTAATGTAACACTTGCTCCGCCAATTGCGGCACAGACTCGGGCCAGCTGCTTGTTCACCGGGGCATGTTCGACCGGTCCCCCTCGCCCCGGCTCATCGTCCGACCTATTCCCAGATTCCCAGTCAAGAACCTCAAGGGTTCCCTTCATCTGGCACGATCGAGACGTCTCTGGGCCATGGATCTGGTGTTTTCGACCGAGCTCCGTTGGGAGGTAATGGGTACGTTGGACCGCTTGCCCCGTCGAAAGATGCATCGTCATCTGTAAATGGAAACGTGATCCGAACAGAGCCCAAACCACTCTCCATCACCACAACAGACACTTCGGACTCTGGACAATTAGAACCGAGTATCCGTAGAGTCATGTTCTCTGCGAAGCTAACTCCGGCCCGCATCGTCTAGTGCGTGGACCCAAGGGGCCAAAGCCTAGGTCCAGCATCCAACCTACGCAATTCCCACCCGCGGTCGAGACGTAGACGCGCCGTTGGCATCTCACTCCTTCTCCTTCTCAGATGAACCGTTTCGTTTTACATACACGCATCATCTGTAGAAAATCTTTGCTACGTCTCCAAACGTCTGTGCGACCATCTCTTACCCGGTGAAAGGCAACCCCAGTTGTCACTTCGAAACCCAACGGCAGAGTAATACTGCGAGAGTTGCTCTCACGCCCAATGGCACCCCTCAAGATCCTCATCGCCGGCGGCGGCATCGCAGGCCTCTCCGCAGCCGTGGGCCTCCGCCGCGCCGGCCACGAGATCCACGTCTACGAGCGGTCCGCGCTCAATAACGAGATCGGCGCTGCGATCCACGTGTGTCCCAACGCCGCGCGCGCCCTCCTCGCCTGGGGCCTCGACCCGGTGAAAGCCAAGTTCGTCCTCGTCAAGTGCAGCTTTCGCGCAAAGGGGGACACGCTGGAGAAGTTTCACGTCGGCACGGAGGATTACATTGAGGAGCGGTACGGCGCGCCGTGGTACTTTGCGCACCGCGTCGATTTGCACGAGGAGTTGAAGAGGTTGGCGACGGAGGCTGGGGGTGGTGTGAATGGTCATGCCAATGGCAATGGCGTTGAAGGGTCTAATGGGACCGAGACGAATGGCGTCAATGGACATGAAAAGTCAAGGGCTGGATTAGGTCAGCCTGCGACTATCCATTTGAAGAGCGAGATCGTGGCATATGTAAGTGGCGACTGTTCGTATCACCCTCGTAGAGTCTGGCTAACACGTCTTCAGGATCCCGAGAAAGCTTCAATAACACTGGCTTCCGGCGAGAAAGTCACAGGCGACGTGGTGATTGCGGCAGATGGCGTCCACACCATTGGAGTCGAGGCGATACTCGGCCGCTCCAACCCCGCGGTGCCTCAAGGGCACTACAACTTCTGCTTCCGTTTCCTCATACCAGCTGCCGATGTCGAGGCTGACCCGGTCACGCGCTTCTGGAACGAGGGCGACGATGGGCGGATGAAGTTTCTGGTTGGAGACAAGAAGCGTCTAGTCTCGTACCCTTGCCGAAAGTAAGTTCCGATGGCTACACCACGGTAGTAGTTGTGAGATGAGTAGGAAGTACGTGCTGTGCGCCTGTGTGCTAACTCGAGTAGCAATGAGATCCACAACTTTGTGGCCATCTTCAACAACGACGACATTGAGAGCACCAAAAAGGAGGACTGGCACGCCTCTGTAAGCAAAGAAAAGCTGCTTGAGAGATACTCCGACTTCCATCCAAGCGTGTTGGCCATTCTCGAGTAAGAAACCTCACTCCGTGAATACACGATCAAGACTCACACCGTGCTTAGCAAGGCTACTGAGGTGAAGCAATGGGCACTCCTCTACAGAGCTCCAATTCCTACATGGACGAAGGGGAGGTTGACGCTGGCCGGCGATGCCGCGCACCCCATGTTACCCCGTAAGTTCCAACGACAGCATATCCGGTCATACTCCCATGCCCGTCTACCGATTGCTGACAGATGAGCTACGTCAGACCAGGGCCAAGGCGGTGCGCAAGGTATCGAAGACGGCGTGGCGCTCGGCATCGCGCTGGCCGGCGCCGAGGTCAAAGACGTTGAGACTCGTCTGCAAGTATATGAGAGCATTCGGAGGAACCGCGCCAGCGTAATGCAGATTTTCAGTAACGCTGGTCAAGAGGAGCCCGAGTTGATACGGGAAGAGGCTGCCAAGTTCATTCCCGCGGACAAAGTGCCTAGTAAGTACAAGCTCTGTGAAGGCTTCTGATAGTGAAGGTGCTTGTGTGAAGAAGCCGCTGACAGAACATATTGCAGAAAACCCGGAAGAGTTCTTTGCGTACAACTTTGGGTACGACATCATCAGGGATAGCGTCCAGCAGGTGCAACAGGTCGAGCCGTCGTTTAGTCTGCCGCCTACGTTTTTCCAGAATGAGCCAGGTAAAGGCGTCTATCCCTAAAGTTCGAGGCGAGTTGATCCGGGCCAAGGATTATCAACGTGGCGTCCCTGTCCATAGCCTTTGAAGGTTGGAATCTGATACCACTCAAGAGAGCTCGTACCCAAGTATGGCTGGCTGCTGCCAGTATTTAATACAAATGAATCAATTGGACGTTGTTGGAATGGCTCTTATGGTTCTAGAAGCAAAGTTTCCTATGTTTGGGAATGTTTCTGGAATTCTTCCAAAAGTGGCTGGGGGTTACCTACCGTGATGACGCACCTGGAGGAGCTGCCCCTCATGCCCCCTGGAGCTAACGGGCCGTCCCAGGTTTTACACGAAAGCTGAAGCTTGAGGGATAATGTCATCGCTTTGACCTTAAGGGGTTTTTGACGCAGCGCCGAGGTCTCGGAGCATGAGAATCTCTTTTAGTACAACTACAACTCCAGATATTAGTAGTGCCGGTAAAAAGGTGTCAAGGTGAAGTTGAATATCGCCAAGTCTTTGGTTCTTGGGAGCGGCTATCCGGAAGCGGCTCCACCGCAACATCCCCCGCCAATCGCCGCCAGGGTCGGGTACAACTGCAGCTGCATCCATCCGACGGGCAAAAAAAGACACAGGAATTCGCTGACCGACAGAACACACTCTTTGTCTCTCCCAGCTCTTTTTTATTCCCTCGCTCAGACTCGACTTGCTGTAGTGAGTTCCTGTCCGCAACCTGTCTTTTTGCGTTGGAATTTGATCGTCCGGCAGTGTCTTCATTTCTCAGACCCTGCCTTCATTCCTCGGCCATCCACCCCTCACGCCTCCTCATACAGCTTCTCGCTCAAGTCTGCCTTTCGACCATGGCGAGATCCTCCTCCTACTCAGATGCTCCCACACGGGACTCTGGATATCGCGAGCCCTATGGCTACCCAACCTCATCCGGGCGGGACTCGAGATATGACGTCGCTGAGTACTCTCTCAGACCGACCGCCAGAGGTAAAGACTCGTCCTCCTCCGCCAGGCAGCGCTCACGATCCCGCTCCCGTGACGCCAAACCGTCCCGCGACACAAAGCACCGCAAGAAGCGACGCAGCGGCGGCGGAAGCGGAAGCAGCAGCTCCTCATCGTCAAACGAGCCCCCAGCAGCCACCAAGGGAAACACCGTCGTGAGCTCAAACAGCAACGCGGCCTCCTTCACGCCGGCCGCCATGTTCAGCAACCTCCAAAACGCCTTCCACGCCTTCCAGTCCATCCCGAACCTCTCCACCTCAACCTTTGAATTGGGCCCCCTCCCCGACACCCCCGTGACGAACCTCATCAACCCAAAGAACCTCCACCCACCCCCCTCCCAGGCCGTCCTCCACGACCGCCTCGCCACGAACCTGCCCCGCCACAGCAACGTCTACCTCATCCTCCTCGTCGGCACCCTCCTGGCGACCCACTGGCTCGTCCTCGCCGCCCTCTTCGGCGTCGTCAAATTCGGCTTCTTCATCCAGTCCTACAACGGCCGCGACCTCGCCCGCGACCTCGGCGTCAGGAAGTACGCCTCCACCCAGAGCATCATGTCCGGCTTCACCGCCTTGGCTGCCATCGTCGGCCTGTGGGCCTTTTCCTCGCTGTTCGGCGTCGTCTTCACCCTCGCCAAGGTCGCCGGCCTCGTCCTCGTGCACGCCGCATGCTTCGACGTATCAGCGGCAGGCGGCGGTCGGCCGACCGGAGCTGCTGCTGCTGCTTCAGCACCTTCACCCGTGCCAAGCCAAGGGTTCCTGAGACCGCCTGCGGTGCCCGCGGGTTGGGGCCTGGTCTCACGGGAGGTGACGAACGTGGCACAGCTTAGATCTGCGAGCGAGGGCCAGCTCAGGTCCGCCAGCGAGGGGAACCTTAGCGGCGGCGGCGGCGGCGGCGCACCACCATACCCGAGCGGGAATGGATGGTACGCGGGCGAGGGGTACACTGGGCCCCCGACGCCAGAGACGTACGCCGAGATGCCGCGGACGCCGCGATCCTTTGAGGCATATGCTCCCGGTCCCCGAAGGGAGGAGCACGATGCCGGGGATCTGGCGTATGGGTATTACGAGTCTGCTCGGCCTCAGAGTTATGCATCGGGCAGGTCGCACTAAAAGGACCACGTAGCTCTGGGATGGTCGAAAAGCAGATTCGAAGAACGAAGTGATGTTCAAGCTTAGATCTGATAGATAAAAATAGCACATCACTGGTCTACGATCCCAGGCATTCCATGTCCATATTCCACGACGTTACAAGAATCGTCCTAGTTCAAGTGCGCAGTTACGGCAATGACAGAAGATCGAATTGACCAATCAAAACTCGCTCGAGACATTGTTTCCTTAGGGCGTCGCAGAGCACCAAGTTGAAGCTGTCCAGCTAATCATTGGTTAGCTGGACTCCAACGCATCGGAGCCCAGCATCCCACGATCTGCGACATTGGAAATGGCACAAATAATTTAGGTGCCAGCCAAAAGGCAAGGTTGAATACAATAAAGGCAACGGAAGCATCACGTTTAGCAGGAAGAGATGTTAGCCACGTTTGTGGACCTCGACGTCCACGGTGTAATGGATGCCGCGGTGAGTATTGGACTAAAGAAATCAATATTCCTTGAACCAAAATAGAGAAAGACCATGGGAGAGCATTGGTGTATCTCGGAGTGTAGTCAAGGTGTGCATCACTGCCATTCTTGAGAAGCATGTTTTTTTTCTTCCTCGCGCCCAGAGAAACAAGCTCCAGCGCGCAACGAAAAAAGAGAAAAAAGAATCAGAGCCTGTCAGACGTCCATCGACACCCACCCCTTCCACGCGCCCAAGGGCAAGACCGCGAAAGGGGACGAGATCATCACCGCCCTCTATACAGCACCCCTCAAAGAGAAAGTGCCGCTTTCCTTGCGGAAAGTGCGTGGGCAACCAGAGTTCTTCACTCTAGGGTATCGAGGATATCAATCATCAACCAGGGTGGGATCTGTAGCTCCTTTAGGGAACCAAGAGTAGGTCGAATACTATAGAAATGATTCTCTGAAGTATTGTCGACATGAAGAAAAAAGAAGAAGAGAAAATCCTAAGAGCTGCGGTCGGGAGGCGGCGTTTTATAGATGTTGGAGAGACCCAAGAGTGGGTCTTTGGTGGGGGACGGCATCAGTACATGCTGCAAGGTTTTGGGCCAATGAGAATTCGGGATGGTGAAAATTGGTAGGTGGGTGAGTACGTACCGGGGCTGGAGATGTAAAAATCTGCATCGTGAAGATGGAAAGAGCGGGCTCGAGATGGGAAAGATGCCTGGGAAGATGTTGGTGAATCAGGCATCAAGACGTTGGAAAACTTCTCTTCTTCACATACCGATTTGATGCTGCGAGAAGCTGTCGGGCGGTTGAGGGTAGCGTCGATCTAAGGGGGAATGGGTCAGTAAGATCGTCCGGATGCCGATGGACGCCCCTTTGAGGTATGGTATGCGCTTTCGCATCAACAGCCCAGTCCTATCACATCGTGAAAATCTGGGTATATCTCTCAAGCTGTGGCACATGGCTGGGTGTCAAGATGTTTCGTGACCGGCCACGCGTATGGGTGTGAAGGAAGGAAGACTTCCCATCTGTCAAGTCGAGAAGTAAAGGTTGAGATTAATTGCTTGAAGCATTCAAAGGCTGTGATAAAAGCTATTCCGAAAGGCTGTGCTCCAAGATTGCCTCCTGCCTTCTGAAGCTGACGAGGCTTTCCGGCTCTACGGTGTCTATCAGGATGCTGCTGAGTCTGCATACCCATTCGCCCAAATTAACGACGTCTCGGAGAACTTGCTGCACATCCTTGATTTTTGTTGAAGGAACAGAGTCTGCCATGGAAGCCTATATAGATCAAGCAGCACACGAAGCCCTCATCACCAAGATGCTAGGCTCAGAAACTCAACACATGATATCAAATTCCACAACGCTCACTCACAATACAACCCCTCCCCAAGCACCCACCCCTTCACCCTCGCACTTACCAACCTACCCAACATCTCCTCATCCCTCTTAGAAGCAGCCTCACGCACCTTGGTACTGCTAACAACCTCCTCCCCCTCATCCCTCCCCCTAACCATCTCAACCCTCTCAGCCCACGTCCCCCTTCCACCAACATCCTCCAGCCCACCATCCCTCAAACCCTTCAGATACGCAGCCTGCTCCCCCTCGCCACCCCATTCATCATCCGTCCTCATCGTGATGCGCAACCTAGACCTGCCCAGAAACGGATCCAGCGCCCTTCGAATCGGCGCTTCCGCCTCCTCCGCTGCTGTCCCTCCCGGTGACGAAGAAGAAGAAGAGGCATTATAGTACTTTGGGTTAAAAATCCGGATAAGCGTATCATACCCCGCCAAATACACCTGCTCCGGCTCCCCTCCTCCATCCCCTCGCGCATAAAACCCCGTGTCCGAGATAGCCTGGCTCTTATCGTGGAAATACGGCATCGTCGTCAACCCCAAGTCGACCTCAATATCCTCCTGCTGCTGCTGCCGCCGCTGCTCCTCCTCGGCCCCCTCTCCCCCCCTCTTTCGCACCTCATCCCTCAAATCCTCAGCAAACGCATACATCATCCCCAACCTAACCTCAAACGCCGCAGGCTTAGGCTTCTTATCCGCGTTATTCACAGCAAGGAGAAGCAACAACCTCACAGCTCCTCCCTGACCCGGCTCCCCAGCCGCACCTGATGACGATTCTCCCGCTCCATCGCCCCTCGTCGTCGTAGTAGTAGTCTTACCCCTCCCCTTTTGCAAATCTCTCACCGCAGACGCCGCCATGCGTAAATGTGCGAGCGTAGGCGGGTTAAACGAGGAATCCAACACCACAAGGCTCTTTGCCGGCCTTGTATTCTCCACATTCCCATCCGGCCTCCGCGGCGCCGGTGCCGGTGTCGTTGTGCTAGCCTCTCCGGCGGTTCCTCGGGGAGGAAGTGTGCAAACGACGCGAAACGCATCCTTGGAGGATTGAAACGCCGTCAGGCTCCGGGAGAAGAAGTCGACGAGGGCTTTGCGGCTGTTCATGGCCGCGTCTAGTTCGGGCGCAGAATCCCCGTTGGATGTCATTTGAGAGGGGTGCGGAATTGCAGTTGGCGCAGTGAAGGTACCGAGTATACGTGAAATGAGGTGAGACATCCGGTTCGAGTACCGGAACGCAGGCTCGGAGAGAGAAGGAGCTATGCAGCGTGCCATCCGCGTTTACCCCGCTACGTGGGGGTCAACTCAAGGTGTCACATTCCAAGCTCACTCATACCATGTGGGGAAGATCAAGTTAAGTACCTTGCGTAAAGACTCAACTTTAGCGCGGATAGACGAGAAGATGAAAGCAGATTCGAAGGGGTATTGTTTTTTGCCATGAGAACAAAATCTATCAGTATTCGACAACTAGAGTATTGTACAGCCAAGTTCCTTTTCTACAACAAGACCAACAAATATAATTCCTCATCAGACTTCCTTCGCCCCTCAAGATCTCCTCTGCTTCGCATTGGCAAACATCTGCGACGTGACCAGCCCAAAGCCGAAAAAGATGACAATGCCGAAAAAGTTGAGCACGGCGTTCATCAGAGGCGGCATCTTGGGCTCCACCAGCATCTCGTCTTGCAGCCTCTCGATCCGCTCCGCCATCTTCTCCTGCCCGAAACCCGTGCGTACTCTCTGCACGCCGGCCTTGCCCATCTTTTCTAAATCGCCCCGGCTGAGGCTGTTGAGCACCTTATCCATGACCACGGTCCACTCCAGGACCTCGTCCGGCGCCCGCAACCAGCCCGTCACGCCGTCCATGACCGTCTCTTTGGGTCCGCCCGTGTTCGCCGCGAGAACGGGCACGCCGGCCAACATGGCCTCGAGGGGCACGATTCCGAAATGCTCGTTGGAGGGCGTGTAAACAAGCAGCTTGGCCGATCGGAGGAGCGACTCTTTTAGGCTCGACGGGATGGAGAGGAGGAACAGCACGGGGATATGCTCGGGCGCAGACAAGGCGGTGATGATGTTCTTGGCCGTGAACGTCTCCAACCCGAGCGACGCGGCAAGCTTCTCGAGCTCCTTGTGGTACTGGCAGTTCTCGATGCTGCGCGGGTCGTATCCGCCCGCGAGGACCAGCCGGACGCCCTTCCTCTTGTCCGCAGGCAGCGCCGCGAAAGCCTTGACGGCGAGCGCAATGTCCTTCTTCCTCTCGAAGCGGTTGATGCTCAGAATGATGTTCCTGTCCGTCCAGATGGCTTCTTCTTCGGTGTTACCGTTGCCAATCGCCTTCTTCTCACTCTCCTTCTTGGGCGCAATGTCGACGCAGGGATACACGACCTTGAAGTTCTTGCGCTTGGCGAGCTTCGGCCAGGCGCCGGTGGCCATGCCCTTTGTGAAGCCCGAGTTGACGGCAATCTCGTCGGCGAAGCCCATGCTCCACTCCTCGACCCAGTCAAAGGGCACGCGGTAGAGACGCTTCCACCACTTTTCGCGGCCGAGGGCGAGGTACATGTCGGGGAAGTGGCAGTAGAAAAGGATGGGCGCCTTGGGGGCGAGGTACTGCAGCAGCGGCAGGCCCGCGCTGAGCTGGTCGACGAAGAAGGTGTCTGGGTTCAGGGACTGGAGTTCGCGGGTGGCGTAGATCTGAACGAGGAGGTGGAGCTGGCGCAGGATGGCGCAGAGGATCGTGAGGCGGCCGAGGATGGAGGGAGGGACGATCCAGTTGCCGCGGACGCGGACGTCGAGGGTTCCTGGTAGAGAGACAAGTTAGGGTATGCTCATTCATATGCGAGAGGCATGGGTAAAAGAAACAGGCGTACCATCTCGAGCTTCTTCAAAGCAGTGGCTCTTGTCGCAATGGCTGGTGAAGATGACCACCTTGTGGCCTCGATTCTGCAAGCCGACGGCGGCGTCGACAACGAGACGCTCAGCACCACCGATGCCAAGGTCGGGGTGGAAGAAGACGACGGTCCTCTGATCGTCGTCTTTCTCCGCCATGGCCGTGATTCGTCTGTGGCAAGTATTCGGGGTGTGCTAAAGGAAGGGGAAGAAATTCCCAATCTGTTTTATTGTCTCTGGGCTTCTTTCCTGCAAGAGGACAGAAGTGCGACTTGTGAGACGTGGACGATCCGACCTGACACTGGAGCCAGCGGGGACCACTCCAGTGGGAGTTACGACGCGACAGCGGCCAGCAGGGCAGTTGGAATTGGGGTAGCTCTGTCAATGGCAGGTGTTGATTGGCTACCGTAAAGTGGTATGCTGCCTTACGTAAGGTGCAGCCCTGCAGGGGCACAACCTAGGTAGGAGGCACTGGTGGGATCCACTCAGCTAAGGTAAGCGAGTTGTGGATGGTCAGGACGATTCTGGGGTGCATCAGAAGCCGCAGGAGCTTGGCGGTCCTCCATTTGGGGCCGCTCTTTCTTTACATGTGAAAGTCCATTAACCTTTCTAGGTACTTAGCCTCAGAAGTTTCCCCATGAACAAGAGGGAGCTCGGAAAAAGGATTCCATCCATCCCAAAAGCTGGGAACTGGACAAGATGACAAGCTATGTGATTGGATGACTGATACTTGTGCATCGGAATAACAGCCAGCTTACCATGCCTTGAGGTACCTTAGATTTGGGGATTCGGGGAAGGGTGTCAGCCGAACTGCGCACCGCACGTTTGATTTTCTAATCATGGCTGCAATCTGAGGCGTGCTCTTCCTTAGTGCCTTTTGCCGAACCGAGGTCAGCAGCGCTTACTTGGACCATCCGTCGATCCCTTCAACTTCAAGCCTTTGTGATCTCAACTCATCTCAGCCCTCATCCATTCTCATATTATAGCTTCATCGTCAAGACTTTATTATTTATATACAATCCTCATACAAGTTGTGGAAGTCCATTTCTGGTTATCTCCTGTTCGATCTGTCCTCAAGCTTCCTCTTGTCGAGACAACATAGATACTGTCACCTCAACGACATCTCATCTCACCAACACCCTCGTCAACATCACCACCATCACCGTCTCACAAAATGGCCTCCCAAACCCCCCTCTTCACAATCCCCATCCCCGAACTCGACTCCCACGAGGGCGGCACCATAGTCTGCACAACTTCAGCACCACAAGTCTACCTCCTAACCTGGTCCTCGCCCCCCGACAACCGCCTCACAACCCCCTTCTGCAAAGCCCTCCTCGCCGCCCTCGACATCATCGAATTCGCCCACCCGCCTGGCGTCCTCGTCACGACCTCCGCCATCACAAAATTCTACTCCAACGGCCTCGACCTCGAACACGCCTTCGCAACCCCGCGCTTCTTCCCAGATACCTTGTACGCCCTCTTCAAACGCCTGCTAACCTACCCGATGCCCACCGTCGCCCTGATACCCGGCCACGCCTTCGCGGGCGGCTTCATGACGGCGATGCACCACGACTACCTGATACCCGGCCACGCCTTCGCGGGCGGCTTCATGACGGCGATGCACCACGACTACCGCGTCATGAACCCCCAAAAGGGCTTCCTCTGCATGAACGAGCTCGAGTTCGGCGCGCCCTTGAAGCCGCCCATGTCCGCCATCTTCCGCATCAAGTGCGCCTCCCCCAAGATCTACCAGGACATCGTCCTCGAGGCGAAACGCTTCCCCGGCCCCGCGGCCCTCGAGGCGGGTCTCGTCGACGCGCTGGGCGGGCTCGACGAGGCGCTGAAGCTGATTGCGGAGAGGAAGTTGACGGAGAGGGGCAAGAGCGGGGTGTATGCCGTGCTCAAGATGGAGATGTGGAAGGAGAGCGCGTACGTGCTCAGCAAGGAGAATTATGAGAGCGAGGAGAAGGTTTGGGATCAGAGGGAGGAGCTGGAGAAGGTGAGGGTTGCGGCGGGGAAGAGGTTTGTGCAGGAGTGGAAGGCCGGCAAGGCCAAGTTGTAGACAGTTTGCGTGCCAGGTTGGGAGTCTGGAATAAGTTAAAGAAGTCGAGCACGATAGTCACGAATACTGCATGCAACTAAACGCATACATCACGGCACATCACTCATCCATAGCCATTGCTCAAGATTCGTGTATTGTGTTGTCAAAAAAGAGACGCTATTTTGTGTGTCTTCCCAACCGGACAGAGGGGGTATCATGGACGTCCATTCAAACACCTGAAATGCATCACCGCTGCTCTCCATCTCTCACGTCTGCACGTCTTGCTCAATCGGCATGGGCTCGCGGACATCCAAATCCGGCTCAGCTGCCCCATTCTCCTCTTGTCCAGTGCCGACGCCGTTCCCATTCCCGTTCGCCTTGTTCGCCTTCTTGGCCGCGTTCATCTCGTTTCTCTGCCTCACAACATCCTTCTCCGCCTGGATCGCCTTGTCGCGACGCGCCTCCACGTCCTCGCGCTTCACCAGCTTCCTCAGAGCATCAGAAGCCTTGATCATGTTATCGATACTGATGGCGTGGTTGGTCATCTGGCGGTTGATATACGTGTACACGCTCGCTGGCGTGTCGCACTGCAGGAGCTGCGTCTCATTCAGCTTCAGCAGCGCCAATGCCACCTGGAACAGAAAAGTGCTCCCGTCATTCAGCTTCAGCAGCGCCAATGCCACCTGGAACAGAAAAGTGCTCCCGTCATTCATGCAAAGCACCACGTCCCAGACCCGGAACAAAGCCTCGGCGCAAAGGCAGTCGGTAAATACGCTGAGGAACCACTGGAAGGTGAGTGCTTCGAGTTCGATACTGAGGTCGTCCAGGTGTTGCGACAGCTTGGGTAGCACATCCACGACATACTGGCGCAACACCTGCTGGTCTGCGCGAGACGCAAGGAGGCTGTGGTCGTAGTATCCGGAAGGCAGGATGTTTTCAATGATACTGGTCAGAATCCAGAACGCGTCCTCTGCTGATGGCATTATCAACAGTAGATTAGCCGCGATGAGATTCATGCCCTGGCAGTAGCCGACCTCTGGGTTTCGGCGGGCGTAGGCTTTCAGCACCTCCTTGAGCTTGGACACGCCCGGCCCCTTGCGGAAGAAGATGTTGTCAGTCAGAGTACGGTTGATGTCCATATCGATCTGGGACACTGCCAGCGGGTCATCATCTTCGTCCGGTCGAGCGATGATATCTTGATAGTATCCGGGAACACGAAGCGTGGTGGCGCCAGAGCACTCTGACCAGACTTTCGCGCGCAAGTTGACTGGGATGCCACCGAGGACCAAGTTCCTCAACTCCGACCTCTTGGCGCGCCCAACCTTGCCTTTGTTTCCGAGGCCAGTGATTCCAATCAGCTCGCCATCGGCTATGGCAGCTTCGGGGATGGTCATGGCCGGTCGCTCGAAGCGGGCTTCGGCAAGCGCGGCTGCTGCTGCGGCCGCAGCCTCGCCATCCCGCTTCCTCTCCGCCCTGACTTTACGCAGGAATTCGTTCCAACGGGCCGCCTTGTCTCTTTGCAAGGAATCGTGCAACTCGCCCATGTGCTGGAGAAGGAGCTTCACAGGTTCCGTGTCGTCCCTGACAACCGTTCCTGCAGCGGCATCAGTCTCGACCGGGGGTGTCGCCTCGCTGTCGATGACGGATGTTGTTGTGCTCGCAATCGGGACAAATCCTCGCTCGTCAGCCGCAATGAGTCCAGGTGACTTGAGACCCAGTTCTCCACCCTCCAATACCTCAAGAGATGGTGCGCCGAGTGAAGGGGTATGAGACAAAAGCTCCGTTGGGAATGTTGCCAGCTTGAGGTAATCTTGCCATTTTTTAGGCTTCCCCTCACCAGCGCGTTCCTCCGTGGACGATGGACTGCCAGGTCGTTCTTCGCTGCCGGGACTTGCAAGCACCTCCTCTTCCTCTTCAATCATTGGCGAAGTCAAGTCTGACCGGGCGTTTGACAGCATCTCGGCACGTCCGCCCTGCTTAAAGTGACGTGCCATCTGCGCAGATTCGCGCTGCCTCTTCTTCCTCCGTTGATCGTAGATGAAGCCGAAGCGGTCGGTGAGATACTCGCTTCCGATGTAGTTGTTGTAGATATGCGTCAAGGTTGGCGGCTGGGTCTCGGGTGGGAGGATTGCATCCATCTCGACGGGGCCGTAACTCTCCTGTCGGTTCGAGGTCGCATTCGTCGGACTGTTCACCATGGTGTCCCATCTCTCTTGCGGCTGAGTCCTGGCGGTGGTATTGACGGGAGGAGCGTTCGCTGTGCCCGTGGTTCTGCGCATGGCCATGAGAGCCTTGGGTCCGCCCGCCGTCGAGACCGCTCTGCTTGACTGTGTGGTTTTGGCGCTGGAGGTTGAGGACGCTCGCGGGGTCGACTGCGACTGCGGTTGGGTAGCACTATTAGACCTCCCGCGATTGGGGCCGCCCTCGCGCGTGTTGATTGCGCCTCCGGCCACGAGTCTCATGAGGCTAGCTGCGACCGAAGTTGAGGCTTTGCGCGAACCAGGAGGTCCAGACTGAATGCTAGACGCTCGACTGGGGGTTCTTGGTGGCACGCTCTCAGGCGGCACACCCTCGCTGGGTGGGCTGAAGAGATCGTCCTGAAGACCGGGCCGCCTATCAGCAGTGGACTGCGCCCTCACGACAGTTGAAGGTCTCGCGATGTCGTCGCCGTTGACGCTGCTAGGCATGCTGCCCTTTCTGCTGGTTCCGCCCCAAAGATAATCCTTCCAACCTCTCGCGGTCCCTCTTCCGTCGGGAACGGAGGGCATAGCTAGGTTGCTAGCGCGGATCGTGGCGTCGTTACCATCAGTCTGTCCAAAGACGTTGACGTTGACAGTGTCCTGCATGGCATCGCTCATGAGGTCAGAAAGCCCGCTCTCGTTGCGGCGATTGCCGGGGCGTTCGGTCTTGACCTCGATTTCGATAGTTCTTAATCTCTTCTCGAGGTCTAGGTTAGATAAGCCGCATTCCAGTATAATCTTGCGCAAAGCCCTCTCCCTTTCGTCGGCCTTCCTCCTCAGCTGGGCGATTTGGGCATCGCGCTGTGCCAGGTCGGTCGCAACCTGCCTGACAAGCGCAACGGCGCCATGTCTGGCAATGAGACGGCCAATGTGCTCGTCGTCGGAGTGGTGAAGGGCACCTGGTATCTTGTGGGTCGAAATGGGCGAGTCCTCGAACAGCGCATCGCGAGCTGCTTGTTCGGCAGAGGAGCCAGTTAGATTCCCCAGCAGAGAGATGGGACCGGGCCTGGTATCGGAGATCTTGCGTACGGTGGGAGGGGCTTCGGGTTCAGGTGTCAGTGGCGGCGGAGGAAAGGCGTGTTCGCCCCTTGGTGAGTCGGGGGAGAAGGAGGGGAAACTCGTCAGCGACTTGTCTTCGGAGGCGGCAATGGAGCTCGCGGAGCTCGAGGGCTGGGAGTTGAGTTTTGATCGTTTGGCTCGTACGGTATGTGAGCGTCCGCTTCTCATGGACGTTGCGCTATGCTGCGAGACGGAGCGCTCGAGAGGGAGAGTAGGCTCGGGGTCCATGTTGGTTGGCGGGCGATGATGTCGCCAAACGTCATGGTTTCAAAAAAGCAAACGGCAGCAGGATGTTGCAGGATGCGCCCGCTGCTGTAAGCCTGCGTCCTGGCGAGAGGGCTGACGGGTTGAGTGTGCTATCGGTGTGTATCGCGAGCTTCGTGGGAAGTAGGAAGGGAGGATAGAGAAAAGGGTGAGGTGCGCGACCTGGGTGAGTAGGTAGGTAGGAAATGTTTGGTGGATTGTAGCGCAGACGCTAAAGCGGAGAGCGCAAGAATGGCGGTAATGTCGAGGTCAGAAATGAGAAGTGTAGTCAATGTGTGTTGTGTGTGTGTGTGCGTGGGTGCCATTGCGGGTGTGGTTGCGGGTGTGTGTGTGGGCGGGACGATATCATTATGCAATCCGACTCCTCCACGTACCTTACCAAGCCAAGTCCAGCAATGCAATGGAAGTACATTTGCGGCTTTGCCTGACGTGGGCCAGGGGTGGAAGGCAAACCGGGGGGCGATGATCACCCAGCATGTCTGGGGTGCCTCGCTGTGACTCTGCCCTGTATCCGTCGTAGCCTGTCTTCGTAGGTATGTACAGAGGTACTGCGTAAATGAGCACTGCGAGCAGCTAGTGGCTACCTTACAGTGGATAATAAGGGGACTTGGGTTCCGCAGCTTCCATCAAGATTCCATCCCCCTCAGGTACGAGTACAAGCTCCAGCTCAAATTACCACCAATTTCACCCGTCTTAGCGCGGCGACGATACCTCCCGCCACGTATGGATACCTACCTTGGGTACCACCCGATGACATGCCTCTGAGGTGCGTCGGCCGCGATTACCTCACCGCAGGCCTCTTCACCTGCAGCCCACTGCAAATCCACAAATCGAGCCCTTGTCAAGTTGCGCGGAAGGAGAACATCCTCCTAACCCATCAATGCCTTACGTAGTACGTAGTACACCCATAAGGTACGGATACATGCACATCTCGGGGCATCAGGTCGCGATATTCAAACCTTTTCTTTCTGCCTTGAACCTTGACACCAGCGCCTCGTTTGTTGATCTCTTTTCCCCTTGTCACCATGCCTTGCCACATGAATGTCAACATTGACACGTCTGAAGAAAAACAAGCACGAGAAAAGGGCCACATCGCACAAAACTCAATACCTATCTTCCCTTCAAAGCGTACGTAGTATACGATTCCCCGTAGGTAGACAAGAAAAAGACACCACCGGGTTCCCACGAGATGCAACACGCAAGGGACATCCAGAAACACATCAAGCCCAGGCCACTTGTCGCAAAGATACGGGACAGATGGACAGCAAAGCACCGTGACACCATCCCGTCAACTATGACAACTAATGCTCTTACGTGCCACACCCGGCCGGCTCTCCCTCCACTCGCCCTCCCCGTTCTCGTGGCCTCTTCCTCGTTCCAAACCGAGACTTCTTTTTTAGTCTTGCCAAGTTAGCCCTGCCATACCCGTGCCATCCCCTGTCTCCAAGGGAGTCCCTGACTTTCCTCCTCCAATTCTCCCGTCCCAAGCTCCACCGTGGATCCTTGGAAACTCGACAGAACTGAGAAGACTGGATTTGGAACAGCGGAGGATAGAGGAATCTTCCCGGGCGCTCGCTCTCTTCTCCTAATAATACAGCCTCACTATCGAGCCCTACACACCAAAACATACACGAAAAAGCTCATCCCGTCCCAGAGTGCCAGACTCCCAGTTACTTCCCTGTCTTGGCGGCCTCCAATACCAATCTCTAAACAGGCAATCCCCTCCCTCGAGCGCGCCTATCTCAACGCTGGATACCTTCCACGCGCGCATCTCGCGTGCGCCAGTCATCCCAACTTTTTCGCTCCGTCCTTGCATACACAGAAAAAGGGTTCTGGAAAGGTTCCAAGGGGTGACTAACGATTTAGGGGTCCAAAAAAAGGGTGATCTCCTTTGCGTGTGTGGACTGTGGATACCTTCGCTACTCCCTACCTTTCCGCCTTGCATCTCTGGTCGGGCACATCATCCGGATTTTGTGCATCTCACACTGGACGGCACTACCGTTCATTGGGCTCCGAAAAAAAAGCCAAGTATCAAATCTCATTATTTAGCACCACTCACACACAAACACACACCTATCCAGCTTTCCTAAGATTACCTCAGGGGGTTGCTTATTTTAACCACCACGCGATACCTAGCCAAATTTCCCTGCTGCCCAACTCGGATCGTTAGTCGCCCCTCCAAACCGGGAAACTGGTTAACAGGTGTGAGTGGGCAAACCGCACCGCACCGCACCTGCGTCCGCGGAAGAATTAATTGATTCTCGCTTTGCTTGATTCGTCCAGCGACCAATCTCCCCTTGAAACCCAAGAGACTCTACTTTTTCTGAGGACCATGACCCGACTCAGGAACGCTTCACACACACACACACACACACACTTGTGCACTGTGATTACGGATATACCAAACTCATTCATCATGTGGCGCCTTAACCATCATCCATCTGAAGATACCTAGCTATATACGAGGGCACCGCCTGGTAGAATCCCGATCTAGCTGCTTAGTGAGTATCTGTAGCACTTCGCATGTCTTTCTCGTACTTGATCCCATCATCCCCCCGGAGGCGCCGGCTCGGCAATCATGTCGACGACGGAGTGGGGGTCCCGGCCACACGGAGCTTCACTATGCCCATCAAAGTACCAAACACTCTTACATGACAGACACCATAGAACACCTCACGACATCATCATCGCCATTTTGAACCTGTATCGAAACCATATTAATGCATATACAGAGCCTGTATTCTCTCTTTCATGTTCCTGAAGCAATGCTTTCTACCGTGCTGTACTCATACAATACTCCTCTCGTTTCAGTCATTAATAATGGTGGTAATCCCCCTTGGCTTCCCTCTTTTTTTTCAAACAATTACCCAGACGCCTTTCTTGTTGTTGTACCCGAAAAAATCTCCCATATGGATGGAAAAAAAGATGATAGAAGAAGAAGAAAGAACGACCCATGCTGTACTCAAAACGCCTAATTCTTTTGGGCCCTCTCGCTCCTGTTTGTTGTACATCCTTCCTCTCTGCGGCCTCAAGCAAAGCTGTCCTCTGCGTTCCAACGGCTGCTGTCGTCAGCCTTGACGGAGACGGGTGCCCGCGCCGGTGTAAGCCTCTGGGGCGGCGCCGGTGCCTCACCCGGAGCTTCAGCAGCAGCTGCCGGAGCAACAATCGGAACTTGAGCGACATCGCTAGGAAGCAGACCTTCCTTCACCAACGCCTGAAATGAAGGATCGCGGGCAAGCATATGCTGGCGCTTGACAGGTAGCCCGTCCAGCAGCTTCAGCTTCTTGCAGCACCCCACAAAAACAACCTGGTACAGTCGTCGCCGGAGACGCGTCGTCTCGTCGAGACGCCGGGCAAACATGGCGTCCCTCTCCGGATCGGCCTCAGGAAGAGTGAACGGGTCCGCAACGTGACCTCGGTCCGCCGACACAGTTACGTGGACTGGCGGGTAGAAGCCCTGCGTGATTGGATTGTCCCGCAAATCCAATTGCGTCAGGTGCGGGAAGTCCGTCAAAAGCTCCGTGACTGTCGTCGAATCTGCTAGGCGGTTGCCGGCAACCAGAAGTTTCTTGAGCCGAGGAATGAATCGAATGGGTGACAGGTCTGCGACGGCATTGAAGTTGAGGTTCAACGAGCGCAGGTTCGGCATCAGCTGGCCGAGCCCTTCCGGTAGGCAACGGAGCCCGCAGTTGGCTAGCTCAAGCAGCTGTAGGTTGAGGAAGTCCACCTTGGGCTCAAAAGTGCCAATGTAGTTGCCAGAAAGGAAGAGTTTGCGGACTTCGTACGCCGAAGAAAGGAAGGAGAGATCCAACTGGACATCACCGCGCTGCTCTCTTAGAGACAGACTATCCAGATGTCGGGCCTTGGTAAAACCAGTAATCTGGCTGATACGGTTCCTGTCGGCATGGAGCAGGCGGACAGCTGGCAAGCGACTGATGTCAAGCTCCAAAATATCGTTGTCGCTGAGGTCAAGATAGCGCAAACCGTCTAGACCCTGGGCATCTACCGCAGTAAAGGCTTCGAGGCAGTTCTTCGAGAGCTTGAGCGTCTGCAGAGAAGAGAGCTGTCCGAGTTCACGAAGCTCAGAAACTTTGTTACCAGTCAGGTCAAGCTCGGTCAACCGGTGCAGCCTAGTGCCATCGAAATCGGCCATCTCGATCTGATTGTTTCGTGCCCGCAGCGAGAGAAGTCCATCATGCTGGTTCAAGCCATCCAAAGAGGTGAGCTTGTTGTTGTCGGCCCGCAGACTCCGGAGATGAACGAGGTTCTTCAGCGCCGACAGGCTGGACAAGTCGTTGTTAGAGATGTCGACGTATTGCAAGTTGGCGAGATGATCCCACGAGGTTAGCTCAGTCAACATGTTTTGCGTCATCTTGAGTTGTCGGATCGAAGCTGGCACTCCGTCCAGATGACCGATGCTGTTGTTGGACGCGTCCAAGCTCACCAAACGACCACAGAACTCGTCAAGCATGTGGAGGCTCGACAATCGCTTCTCGCTCATGTCAAGTTCCGTGAAGTCCTCCCAGTAAGGCTCAAATGGCTCAATCTCCGTCAGGCGATCAACGAGCTCACGAACAGTCAAAGACAAGACCTTCTTAGAGCCGTCGCCAGTGACTAGACGCTGGTCATCCACAACGTAGCTGACTTCAAAGCCGAATGACTTTTCGTGATGGTTCAGTGTGAATTCTGACATGGGGCTCAGTGACAAGTTGCCAACGTTGTGACTGATGATGGCGCTTGCGTCCGGGTAGAGACCGCCCATCCGTGTCTTGCCGGGCGTCTTGATGATGAAACTTATGCTCTTCTCTTGGTTCTTGGGAGAGACATAGCTCAAAGCACTGTTCTCGCCTAGGATACTGACTTGACGCTCGTCAGCATTGTCGCCAACGACACTGTCCTCTTCCCTTTCGTCGATTCGGGAGACGGGCCGAGGGACAAAAGACTGGCCGCGAAGTGAAAATTGTCGTGATGGACCACGAGCCGGAGCTGTACGCGGGCGTGGTTGCAGCAAAGTCCGCCGTGCAGTCTTCGTCAAGCTTTGGTATTTGCCTCGTTTGGACTCTTCAATCATCGAGTCCGCATCCACGAAACTGCCCTCGTCATCTTCGAGGCTATCGATATCCTCAGCAGCAACATCCTGTATGATAGAGGCAATGGGCGAAGAAAATGATATCGTCATTCGTCTCCGGGACGGTGAGGAGTCCATGATGCGATCCTCGTCGAGCTGGATCTCGTGCTCAACGTCTCCGTCTCCTGCCTTGCTTTCAAGCTTGTGGAATTCAGTTCTTGCCTGTAGCGCAATATCCCGAGGCAGTGCCGCATCGGGCGACAACGTCACAAAACCTCTGCCGGATGAGCTCCGGGGCGTGTCCATGGAGCCCTTTGGTGATTGTGTCATGTTGGCTTCCCGCTCTTCAGCCTCCTTCTGTGCTGTCACCAATCTCAAGTGTAGCATCTCTTTTGTAATGTCGACGGACAAGTCAGGAATGCTTGCAAAAGGGTCATCTTCGCTGTCCTCAGACGGGATGACAACATGCGAACTCTTAGGTCGGATGCTCTCGCCTCTCCGTTTGATCCAAATGTTTTGCTGGCGATCAAGATACATGCTTCCGACCTGATCCGGTATCAGATGCGACACACTCTGCGGCGCAATCGTTTTCCTTGACTCAGAGCCACGAGAGGAGCCAGTGTGCATGGTCCGGTTGGTAGATGCCCCTGACGAGTGAGTACCGAAATCGTCATACTCGGTAGAGCCATCTCGCTGTCTGTTCGGGTTCGCGGAGATACGAATGTTGGGGGGATCGCTGATGGTTTCGTCTCCTCCAAGATATTGGAGGTCATCAACATTGCTTCTAGAGCGACTGCTCTCTTCGATCTGTCGTTCAACCTCCTGCGCAGCTCGGATGGCATCTTGAGCTTGATCCATAGATCTAAGCGAAGATGTGATGACGTCTCCCATGTCGCTGAGCTCCTGGTACTTCTTGAGGTAGTCCAGAATCTCTGGGTTCTCCTGGCGTTGCGGTGCTCTTTGCACTGGCTTTCCTTCGCGACTTGGAGGCCGAGACAATGGTTCCCTGGTCGACTCATACGAGTCGTCAAAAGCAGGACTAGGCTCGCCGTATTCCGCATCAGATTCCTCCACACTGGTCAGACCGCTAGGGGCCTTCACACCATTTCGGATCATGGCCATGATCTTGCCAGCCTCATCCAAGAAGTCCTGGGTTCTGATAGATGGCTTGCGGTCTGTGTCGAGTGTAGCACTGCGGTCATTGCCACTGGATGTGAACTGGGATCCACGGTGGGGGGTGCGTCGTACGGGCCGCTCTTCGTCTTCGTCTTCGGCATAGTCTTCGAGCAAGTTATCCTGAAAGGGAAACTCGCCAGCTTGCAGGGAAGACCTTGAGCTTGGGGTCGGAGTTCGTGGGCGTAGGATATGGCGCGTGGCCAGCACGCTGGGGTGTGCTCTTTGTTGCAAGCTTCCTGGGCGAGCGTCTTTGCGCTTCTTGCCCATCATGCTCTGCATCAAAGCATGGGTTTCCTGGACGGTGTCTAGAAGTGCATACCGCTCTTCCCTCCCATACGCAATATCTGACTTGTGAAGTGTCCTCCTCCGCTTCGGCGTCGGGTCCTTCGATGGAGAGGTACGTGGTCGCTTCCCTTCAGATGCATCACGTCTCTGTGGGGTACCTAGCATAAACGCCTCGGCTCCTGCGAACTGGACATTACCTCTTTGAACGCTCCCTTCGCTGGCTGATGGTGTGTGCTTGGAAGATGAGGCAGTCGTAGTGCCGGACTTTGCTCGCTTCCTGGGAACAAACATCGAGGCCTCATCCGGCACTGGTGAGCCCGCGACATGCTCAAATCGAAGGACAGACTCTTCGTCTTCCGACTCATGTTCAGATCCCTCATCATCCTCGAAAAATTGGGACTCCTCTTCAAGCCGGATGGACAAGTCTTGATTAAATTGGTAACCTTCGAGGTCGCCCGCACCGAACTGACTCACAGATCGGGAGCTCGTGGCCGTTTCTTGCTTTGGCACGGATAGGTAGTCGCCTGGAGCAGTATGCGGTCTTCGGTTTCTAGCAGCTGGGGCGAATTCACCGCTGACAGATTGCCGCGATGATCCAGATGTTTGATCCTCAAATTGACTGATGCGGCGGAGCAGCGTCTGGTTCGTGAATGTATCGTACGGGCCGAACAACTTCAGAGGACTCGTGCTATTCGTTCCCGACGTGCCGGGTTTCTCCGGACTCGGATTTGGCACACGTGGTGGTGGTGGGCTCTGAGACCCGAACCGAATCGAAGTGTAGCCGGGGGAGTACGTTCTTACACTTGGGAACTGCTTGGGTGTGCTAGCCTGCAGGGACTCCTCAGGAAGCATCTCAGACGTGTCGACGCCCATGCCAGGGCTGAGACCTCTGTATCTGAAGGATCCATCACCAGACCGGCCACCGCGCCGAGTGTTGAGGAAGCCTCCCTTTCGCGCATAGTCCTCGGTCGTCTCTGCTCTGTCGCTGTCCACTTCTTCTACACTGCCGTCCATATCGAAATTGAGCTCACCCTGTGAGTCCAAAAGCATCTGATCGATGCGCAGTTTCTCGAGGCGATTCTGGAGCTGGTCGACGGGGAGTTCGGTGGGGGCGGACGTTTGTTTTGCTTCATCCTGCTTCTGGCGCATCAGCGTGAGAACGATCGGACTGAAATCTTCGTTTCGGATGACACTCTGTCCGCTGGTCTTCCTAGAAGCGTCGTTCGGGGGTGCAAGTCCTGAAACAGAAGCCGCCAGACTTGACTCCTGTGCAAAGGTGTTATCTTGCTGCGGACTGAGTTGACTTTGATTGCTCTGATCGGGAGAGCCGTCGGTCATCTTGTAGGTAATGTGCGGCGCGCGTGGTCGAGGGCTCGGGCTTGGGCTTGGATCCATGTGGCTCCTGCCATCTGATTCGTCTTCGTCATCTCCGTGGTCCTCGTGCTGGCGGTGGAAAAAGGGCGGGCTAGAGGGCATTGTTGTGTTTTGTCGCACGCTTTGATCGGCGATGGAATTATCTTGGGGAGGGGAAGGCGGCTTGAACATGTTTTCGAGACCTGTGGCTGCAGAACAGAAGAGATCTCGTTGTTCGCCATATGCGACGTCGCCGTACACTAGCCTGCGCTTCCATTCCGGAGTGTCGCCAGCTCCTCGCAGTGGAGAAGACCTGATTGATTTATGATGTACAGTATTATGAATGACAGACCCGTTTGTTGAGGCTGAGAATGCGCGACTTGTTTGACGTGATTGATCGTTGGGCTTGATCTCGCGGGAAAGCTTCGAAGGGCCCCTTTGGGACAGTGGAAGGTTAATATCATTGGTGCTTCGTTCGCTCAGGACCCCGGTACTCTTGTCGCTATTTCCAGCACTCGAAGGTCGTATCCTACTGACGGGGAGAGGTATGCGACTACCGGATCCTTTCCCGCTTGGTGTATTATTGTTATCTGTCGGCTTCAGAGGCGGCAACTGAGCTGGAGAAGTCTCGGATCCAGCTTGCGAGGGCCAATCCTCGGAGAGGGAGTCGAGCCAAGCATGAGCCATCGTGAGTTGGCGTATGCGATCAGGGTTGAGGGACTTCTGAGACTATAAGCAGTCCATCGAGGGGGGTGGCAGATCGTCGTCGTGAGTTGATGTCGCGGTTTGTGGTTTGCGGGGTGCTAAGTTTGGTGGCTTGGATGCGACTGAAGTCTGTTTACGCGGGCAATTGCAATGCAGAAGTCGCGCGGGAGAAAATGCAAATGAATAAAATGCAGAACGGCAAGCCGAAGAAAATGGCGAAAAAACTGCTGGCGAAATCGCCTCTGCTGCGTCCGCTACCTGCGGTGACGTTTGGTCGTGATATGGGAAAAAAGAGGTGTTGGTATTGTTTCGTGGGGAACGCGGTCGAGCGATCGCGTTTGGGGCCGGCGTTATGTCAATCTCAAAAGCCCACCCTCAAGGTTGAATTTCCCCGAATAAACATAACTAATTCAATGTTATGCTTGATTGGCAGGCTGCAGGTTGCTGTGTCAACCGCCACAGACCAACCTTTGGATGGAACCAGGCCGGGCCATGGCCGTGACCCAAAATTCCCCGATCGTCCGATGGCGCTAATCGTTCTATCGAGTCGTGGGGGCTGCACCTTTTTGTTGCATCTACCTGTTATCCGATGGCAGTACCTTAGGATCCGTGCTGAGCATCTGCGCCACAGCAGGTGCTCCAGCCACTGCAACCGCGAGATCCAAATCAATTAAACACGATATCACGTGTGGGCCCGCCTCAGACGCGATCATTCGTGCTGGGTCGCGTCGTCTGGTGAACGTGCACGGTGACCGACCCGCCCAATATGGGACCTCTTTGTCTGTTCATGTTTGTGCAGTGCGCTGGATCTGGGGACTTTCGCCTTTCATCGACCGACGACCGCAATCCGGACCACCGCCCGGCGCCAATGCGACCGTAGCGCTTCCGACTTCTCCCCTCCTTCGTCCCCGTTCCGTTCCTTAGGCTCATGACTTTTTGCAACAAAAGTCTTTCCATACCAACACGATGGATATGAAGGATGGCTGGAGAGTCCGGCGACTGGACGACGAACCAATGTACTGCGAGGCTCCCCACGATGAATCGGATATCTTGTGCGCCAGTTTTGACCACGAAGACCTCGAGAGCCTCAAAGAGAGGAGACGTCGATATGAAGAGGCTGCGACTCGCTTTTTGCAGGGACATACGCCAAGGCTGCTCTCTACAGTTCTAAGAGGCCCTTTCGAAGGAACAGACGCAAAAGGTTGGGTGAATCCATGGCAATCAAGCCGGAAACCAACGTCAGCTGCCACTCCGCCACCACCTCCAGCTGCTGTCGTCAAAACAACCACGGAAGTCGAAGAAACCATTGTAGAAGAAGTGGATGTCGAGGATGCAGCGTCTTGCCATCTACCGAGCCCGCGAAGCCTGGATCAACCCAACTTAAGCCCGCACCCTTTCATGGAAACAGACGAACTAGAACGAGTTGAAGCATGGCGAAATACCACGGAATCTGTTAGCGACACACAGGAGTTTGCTTGGTCACTAGAAGCCTCTCTTTTGCAGCCTCAATCACAGACACAACGTAAGCGACGGTCAACAGGGTCAGAATGGCTTAAGCGGCAAGACACCAAACGACGAAAGGCAGATGATACAAATAGTCTCCGGGAGGACTCGGCCGCTACCCAGCGGGATGGCGTAAGACTGAGCCAAAACGTCATGCAGAAACAAGTGGACGCTGCCATGGAGGATGAGACTGCAAGCTTGAAGAGTTCTCAAATAAGCCCACAAACCCCGCGTAAGGCCTTGAACTCAAGTGCCAGTCGCCCGCACCAGCAACCACTCTCACAAAGATCCAACAAACACGCCAGTACTGCACAAGACGAGATACCAGCGCCCCTGAGCACTCCGATCCAGACTCCCCAGTCCAATAGGAAGGCAGTGGTGAATACTGGAAACGATGATCCCCCCAGCAGTGTTGTCACTGTGGCCAAGGAAGAGGAACGGAGTGAATTCGAGACGCAACAGGACGAAAGCTTCTTATTCCGTGCAAGGCCAAGAAACCATGCCCTCAATACCTTGAAATCAAGTCCCTTGAAGAGAATGTCCTCCGGCCAAGTTTCTTCCGCCGCTTCCACTTCTTCGAGCGAGAGCGACTCCCAAGGCGATGTCCAAGATTTGGAGGGTGACACTTACATGGCAGACGACACTAAAGCAACTTCCCCAGGATCCAGCGAGGAAGGTGGGGACCAACATTTCCCAGGGAAAGATACAGCGCAAGGAGGGGAGAGCGGCGAGTCTATATCTAAGCCCCTGGGTAGTGACATAGCCCTCGATGCGATGGAAACCGACGTGTACCCCACGAAACCGACGGATGGCGAAGCTCCAGAAACGGTTGAGAACCTTGATCAGCATCTACCAGTTGAGACGACCGCAATAGCAGGAATCGCGGATTTGACATCGAGCCAAGAACCGACGGTCGTGGCCATTGCTGCATCACAAGATCAAGAAGAGATTTTGGTACCGAAAGAAGCAAGCCCAGTGCCACAACCGCCGACGCCAGAAATCCAGGCCACTTCACAAAAGGAACCAGCAAGCCAAACCTCCAGCTCGTTCGCGGGCATACTACCGAACCTCTTCCCTCAAAGTCCCTGGTCGAAGCTGAGCCAATTCATCATTCCGCGTACTCCTCGTCCGCCTAGCACCACTGGCCAGAGCCACGAACAACTGACTAGTGTCAACACGTCCACTGCTGAAGGCCCCAATGCTTCGCGGACACCGGGAACACCATTCACTGCGTCAGTTGTAGAAACTTCTGTGTCTGTTGATGGAACGCCTGATCGAACAGTTGAGCGACCCTCACTATGCACTGCTGATAGATTGGTGGACGCAGCCAATCTTCACAACAGTCCCGCCGTACCAGCTTCACAACAGAGCCCGTGGAACATGGACGTGCCAGTCATCGCTCAGCCTCAGCAGCAACAGCCGAGGGACAGTGATGCAACGAGTGCCATTGACCCAAGCTGTCAGAGTCCTTGGACGGCTAGCCCCACCAAATTGTGCCAAGCTGCTCAAGAAGCTCTCATGTCAAAGCTCTTTAATGTTGCTGAACCAGCTTCGCCTTCTCCGCTTGCTCCCACCGCTACGATGACGCCTACAGGTCCGGCTGTCACTATTGAACAGCCCAACAACACTGAGACCTCAGAGCCAGTTTCGCCTGAGCCTATCTTCTCTATCAAGTCCTTTGCGAACTTTTTGTCCCCATCGCCCGAAAAGCCACGTCGGCGTCTCAACAAGACTCGCCTCAGTGGCGGTCACCTGCCTAGTACGCAGAATCTCATCGCCGCTACAACCAACAATCCATGGGAAACCATACAAAAGTCTGCCAAGAGGGTCAGATGGGCTTTACTGCCTAACGAAGTCGAAGGCGAAGAATCTTTAGAGAGCCGGGATCCTCACACGCCTACAACGCAAAGAGCTGCTTCGCCGCCGCCGGAAACCGCAGTAACTGATTTGCCAACCGGCGAAGACGATCAGTATAAAAAACACTTCCAAGCTGTTTCCCTTCGGCAAAGGCTCCATCACCATCTCTTGCCTTCAGCATCTCAGCAAGTGTTGCAAAGCCCGGGCCCAATGGCCATGGCAGAGGCTTTTGTCTCTGCTGACTCCTTCCGAGCACCTCCAGCCCCAATGGCCTTTGTACATGTCGAAGATGCCCCACTGGCGCAAGACAATACCGACACGCAAGAGTCCGCCGTGGATGATGTTGACGACGTGCTTCGTAATCTTAACGAGTTTATCGAAATGGTGGATGTCGAAGCTGATCTCGCGAGAGCCAAGGAAGAAGAGCAGAAGCAGGTTGAGAAACAGCAACAGCAGCGAACAAGCCAGCCTGTAAGCAACAGCTACACAGGGGGCTTCACTTTCGACGGGATGATGGACGCAGGAGTTTGGGATTGAGAGTCTGTTATCAAAGAAGGTGTCGTGGACGATGCATCATATATTACTGTGTTCGGACGCAAGCAAGGAGCAGCTGCGCAGGCGGCGTCATTATGCGAATTATTATACTAGCGAGGTGTTTGGGGTCATGACAAAATACCACATCATGGGTGGAACAACTGCTTTGCTTTATTTGCTCTACGACGAACTGGTAGTTGCTACTCAGTCAGTTTACTATACTTAGCGGTTCTGTCTTCGGCAAAGACTAGACCTTTGTCAAATGTTATTCAATCAGTAACTTGGTCCTCGTACAACTTCTGCTGGGAACGATCACTTGACCGTTTGCAAGATAGGCCATGCGGTCGAAGTCTGCTACGTTTCACGATGCCTCTGGGCGTGCTCGCAGGCTTTCATCTCAACACCTCCTAGAACCACAACGCAGAGGTTTCTGTCTTGAATTTGTAGACGTGAAGTACTTTGCCGCTACTAGTCCTCTATCTTCGCCCTTGAGTCTAAGCAACGGAGAGCCTGATCGCTTGCAAAAGAAAATCCACGCGTCTGCACTGAGTACTGTAGCCTCGATGCTAGCAAGTCAACACTACCCAGTCAATCAGCACCCAATTACCCAAAAAAAAAAAAAAAAAAAAAAAAAACCCCCACTGCCAAACACTTCAGAAGGAGGGAGAGGGCGAACTCACTACATAATGACCGGGAAGAAGCACTCCAGCGTATACGCAACCCGATCCGCGTAGCTCGTGACGGGATTACTCTGCGATATATTCAACGAGTGCGTGACGGTCCTCATGACCCCCGTCACCGCCAGCGTCGCGAGCCGGACCTCGGTGCTCCGCACCAGATACCGCACGAACCCGATCCGGAGCCCCGCCTGCGCCGACGCCGCCCGCGCTTCCGCGAACGCGCCGAGGAGGAAGTAGGCGCTCACGCACTCCGTCATGGCGAGCGGGCAGAAGTAGCCAATGTGTAGGCCGTTGATGAGGCTCTGCAGACTGCCGTCGGCGCGGAGGATGTGCTCGACGCGAAAGACGATGATGAGGACGCGGACGACGAGGACGGCGAAGAGGGCGAGCCAGAAGACTGTGGTGAAGATTTTGCGGCGGGTGCCGCGGAGGATGTTGCGGAGGATGATGTAGCTGTAGAAGGGGAGGCCGGCTTCTTGGACCTGTTGGTACTCGTGTAAGTCATTGGCATTCAAGTGTCACACAGCTTCAGCCAGGAAACCCTCTCGTAATTCCTTCCTTACCATCCAGAAGAAGTCCCCGAAAGCCGCGACGACTGCTTTCCTTTCGAGAGGGTAGTACGTCTCGTCGTAGTAGGCATAATAGCACAGCCCGTTCGCGATGGCCCCCGCTGCCGAGGAGACGATGGGAACGACGGCGACCTTGGAGAAGGATGTGATACCGACGACGAGGAAGCCGAGAAGTACGTTGAGCGCTCCGACGGTACTCAGCGGCGACCAGCTCAGCTCGAAATAGGGCAGGTTGGATGGTGACTTCAAAGTGCTGTCGAACACGTTGAGTGTCCCCGAGGAACCCATACCCGGTTAGCAATGGGCTTTGGCTACACAGTGAGGCCAAAGTTTGAAGGTATCTCGGAGCCTCATGTGTAGTTGTTGCCAGTAGCTTTCAGGCACTTCCTATGGTTCGTCTGTGTTTGATTTGACGTTGACGTCTGCTCCCAGGGAGGAGGGTTGGCATTTGGAGCGATCGGGCCATACATGAGTCTTCAACCCTGTCGACGGCTGAAGAGATGCCTTTCTCAAGCTCGGCTATTGCTCTCAACGGGCCGGCGGGCCGTTTGCTTCAGTCTCCTAACCACTGCCGTTTATCAGCTTCTGAATCGGTCACCATGTCCCTGGGTGCGGAGAGTTCTTCTACCTTTGGCCACCAAACCTCAGAAAGCCGCGGAATGGTGGGGGCGGGGTTGTCAAAGTCGAGCAGTTTGAGGGGGATATCGGTCTCGGAAGGACTATAACTAGCGGGGTTTGACATGGACGTTCGAGAGGCTTTATCTCGGAGCCTCACCGTCGGGACGAGAAGAGATGAACCTAAAATCTGTATGGACGGGTGCGGTTGACGCCGCGTGCCACCTGCGGCACATCGCGTCGGCACCCCTTCACAGGGGATTCGACCCAAAATAAGTTTACCAACTTGACACTGGAAGATCTAGCCCCTTCTCTATGGTCCGTCTCGTATCCGTACACGGCGCGGTTAATTCTGGGAAGACTAAATGGTATGACCGGAGAGTTACTGCCCAAAGTTTCGACACATTTGCCGTTTGGTTGCCAATTTGCTGCGGGCTCTAAACGCGTTCTCTTTCAGTCCGATATGGTTTGTATAATTGGTGTTGTCGATCTCTGAGCAAACAACAGTCACATCATTTCATAATGATACCTCGGGAAGGATCCAAGGCGTGACGCAAGCATTGCCCATTTGCAACATCAGCTTTAGAGCTCTGATAATAATTGCGCGTTTATCCAAGGTTTCACCTTATCAACAATCACAACTTCAAACCTTGTTGTATTCAAGAACGATTATATTAGTAAGGGATGCTCTTCCCCCCGGCTCTTTCTTTCGACTCTTCGCAAACTCGATATAAACGTTAATGCCCACCAATCCTAATGAGCGGTTGAAAACTTATCGAGACGAAATGACTTGCCCGCTCAAAGGTCTCAATAGAGGAAGAAGCCACCGGGACATGCATGAGCTTCAGTGTCAACTCACATGCTATAGAATCAAATCAACAGTCCATTTATACTATCAAAACAATCTCTTACTTAGGCCCATGTAGCAATCTTTCCGATAATCCAAAGTCTGTAATTGAAGTTATCAACTCCCCGCTGCAGACAATACTATAGATACTCCTTCCAACTAACAGAGATCGAGAGTCAAGCTCAAATTCTGGATAACATGAAGCATAGCCTGAGGTCAGGCTCCTTTCTCTCTCCCAGGTTTGCAGATGAAAGCTTAGTCTCAAGCATACTCAACTCCCGAATGATTCACAATCTAACAATCCCAAGGGCAGGTACAGTTCCATCGAGCACTTTATGCTGCTATACTGACCCTGCCGTCGAGAAAGCACATGCTTCCGTCACCCTCCATGCTGCATGTCAGGAGTCCACTGCTTTGAACACGACGTCCAACACCACCGACAATGTCTCAATCTCAAGTGAACCTCTCAGAATGCCTCCGTTGACGACAGTCTTCAGAGTCCAGGTTAACAGCAAACCTCTCATTCACTCGTCGTCGATACCTGACTTCCAAACCACTCGTTTATTGATGGTCCATACTCAACAACGATATGAGAACCTGAGCTGCAGTCGTGGTTTTCTGGTAAGGCGACGTGTCAAAGGGGATACACCTCATGCAAACTGTGATGCCTCCAGCCTTTGATCCTTGTTCTCTCGGTCGGGGTTCCCGGGGCCTGAAGAAATTCCGTCCCCGTCAAGGTGAGATGTTGAGGGCCGCAAGCAAGTACATTGCCTGTGGTCGGTCAGAGTCTTGAGATGCAGGATTTCCAGTCACCTCAATATACCTTTGACCAGATATCGCGAGCTGCTGGGGCTTCATGATTACAACTGAGTAACGGCATAACTCGGGTGAGGTACCGAACTAACGCATCTCATCAAACGAAATCATGTACCAAAACAGCAGAGTCTCACTGATTCCATCATCAGTCTACTTGTCCCGTCTGCGCGATAATGCTCATTCACCATTGCAGCAAAAGCTTCTCCGTTCATAACACCACTTGAAAAAAGCATACTGCTTACAACATATTACAATTCTGATCCCCGCCTTAGATGATAGTCTAAGCCGGAAAGACTGGCTCCCACCTTTTGTTACCAGAACCTGATCCCAACCTTTGCGTCAATGATTCAAAGCTTCGAGAACGACTTTCGAGCATTTAGCTGAGATCGCTTCCCAATCAATAATCCACGAGACCGAAGTTGCCAGGCGTCCTGCTAACCACTCGGTGTAGCCTGTCCCCGATATTTTCGAGACATTATGAGTCTTTGCTACGGCAATTGAGCAGAAGGCTACCAAGAGCGCGAGAAACGAGGTAGATAATGTAGCCCCGTGGAGTTTGACTTCCTGGAAACCAGAAACCAGAGGAACGACTTGGGACTCTAACAAAATGCAGCAGTTACTCCAGCCTCGACCGAGCCTTGCACATTTCTCATCAGGTACTTGATATCCACACATCAAACAAAGTCTTCACAAAACACAGGACATCGGAGGCGGTACCTTCCCAGCAACAACACCCAAACAAACGAGCTCATTCCCATACCCAGCCAGCTGGACCCCCAAACGCAATGAGCCTTCGTTCGACCCACGGCCCACAACTTCTAGAACAGACAATCACCACAAGCAAGGATTGATCTAAACGTGTCGCGTAGGTGGCCATCCGACTGGACAGATCCCCGGTTTCCCATCAAAAGAGTCCCAGGCACCCACGTGGATGACATACACCGGAAAAAGCTACTGCATATGAAGAGACAGCTCGTCATTAAGACAACACGTCTAATCAATCCCTTCCACAAGTATCCTCCTCTCGGTGTCTCTTTCCGGGTTCTCACCCCCAGAGTTCCGGAAGACTTGACCATAGCCATCCATCAGCAGCAGCTATAGCTCCCTCTCCCGGGCTCACCGACTCACCGGCTCCAAGGTTCAAGGATCTCAACACGCGCGGTGAGCCAGTGTCCTGGGTACACCTACTCACCACAGCAAGAGGTGGGTTTCTGAGCGACAGACCACATGGCGGATCCCCGATCTCTCTTTGGATAAGAAGACGAAAAAATAAGGAACCCATGAAGGTCAATGCCATCCCCAGTGCAGCCACGCCCGGACTCCCTCTCGAAAAGAAAAGATTCATCGTCCCATGTCCGGCCGGACCATGAGAGAGGGTCTGGGGGCGTGTGTGTACTCCGTATGGCATCTTCGGATACCGGCCCCCATGTGGCCCGTATCATTGGGGCCTGGAGCTTGATGAGATGGTCATTGATACTATAATCAAAATCATGTTCACTTTGAGTCTTCCATGCATGTTTGTCATACACCTTTACCTGGTGTATGGATAGTGTCAGAGCAGGGCCATGCCCCTGAATTGGTTTTCGGAGCGA